CGTTTTACTTTCTTCAACAATCCTTCTTCTTGGACAATGTGACTGGAACGTCCGAGATGTCAAAACAACAGCAGCGCGTACAGCTACGGTGACGGCGGCGTTGAGTGGTGGTTGCGGACAACAGGCCGCTGCTGTTTGGAATTTGTAACTTGATCAGTACGCTTCTAGGGCGTACCACTACAGATTCCTTACAGAGGGTGTTGTGTGAACCCTCTCCAACGTCTTAAATGTGAGTAGCTTGAACAGTACGCTGCCAGGACATACCAATACTCACACCGTCGGGGTAAGGAGAGGTGTTATGTTTATACTTTATTTATATTATGTTTATTCATGTTACAATGTTACATTAGTTACATCATTACAACAGCTTATATTATATTACTTCTTTTACCATGCGGACATCAAACGTCTAACCGACAGCTAACTTACTGACTATATCAACTAATAAGGTTATGACAGCAACTACAGTGTTGCACCATATACAACAAGAGGGGTGTACCATTGGTACGGATACAAAAGCGTGGACTACTCGGCGGGATCCACTTATCGAAGTTATTTAACACAGTGAGAAATAAACGTAGAAGTAGAGCTGTTTATCGGCTGAAAAGCACGAAGTAGGTTATCGATGGTTGGAATGTGGCCTATATTTCTGTGGTACACCGCTAGTCGGTGTGAGGCAGTGTGTAGGGTTACTACGACTGCATTTTCATGGGTTTTGCATGATGACTGTTGTTTCCTTGGTGGGCGGTTGGATAAATCAACAATCGACGTAGTATTTGATGGTTTAGTTGGTTCTAGTGATGATGACACGAACTTATAATTTTCTGTGTGAAAAGCTGTATAAAGTTGTCTAGTCGTCGTAGAGCGCGTGTCTTTGAGTGATAGAATATTGCCGATTTAAACTTAAAATTATTTACGACTGTTTATTGTTCATTAGATACACAGTACTCTCTGTTATATAAGAAATAATGTCAGTAATATCACAGTTGATTCATTATTAATGTTATGTGAAATTAATCAATTATATTACTCTCAATAAATTTAAAATAAAATAGGGACTCATTCCAATGTTATGTTAGGTTCTTTTTTTACATTATCATTAATTAATGGTCGTATAACTTATAGTAATATGCCTTATAGTTTGAAGTTTGAACACTATTATAATAAATTAATAGTTACCTATGTAATTTGGTCGTATTTTGAACTTGAAATAACTATAAAAAATTATATATATTTTTTGGATTTTTTGGTTACAGAACAATCTAGTTACGTGAAACCTTACTTAAAAATTTTAATCCTCAGCTATAAAAATTAAACATTTCATACATTTTGAACCGCAAAATAATTTGTAAATTTTGAATTTGATATTGGTATATTGTCGAAATTTAAGTTTTAAACGTCTATAAAAAAAATTTTGCTTGTGTATTTTTAATGTTTTTTAACCGCTGCTGTAACAAAAAATTAGGGACCTTGTATTATATTATACGGTCATGCATTTTGACCCGACGAATACAATTTTATTGATATTTACAGAAAAAAAAAAACTAAAAAACTTGAAAACTGAAAATGTCAGTAAACAGCTCAAAACAAGTCAAAATATATCAAGTATAGGAAATGATAAAATAAAAATTTGTTGTAAATTTGAAGTATCTACAGTTTTTCATTTTTTAATTAAAATTTACAACAAAATAGGAAAATCGTTCTACGAGAAATTGAGTGTTATTCAATGTTGTGAAAAGTGAAACTTCTAACTTTTATTTTTATAAAGGTAGACTAACCTATGAGGAATATTGTTTTACATTTTTAAATCTTAATAACACAGCACATACTATTTTTTTTTTAATAAGTGATAAAATGATAAATAGTAATGCAATTAGCGGGGGAGTGGGGGAGTGGGCATGGCCTTCTGCGGGTGCCCATGTCCAGAGGTATTATGGTTAACAAATAACAATGTTGTTTTAAAGTTTCTTTTTTTTTGTTTCTTTGCTATTAAATGTATAAATCATTAGAATTTTAAAAATTACTATTTAATACAAATATAGGGACAATACCAAGAATTGAAGAATTAATGTCTTCTTAATTTTTACCAACACAAAAGCGAGTTTCCCAACTCAGATGCAGTTTAGAAGCGACAATATACTCTCGTTGCCCACACATCCTTTGGATACCAACGTGTTGATAGGAATAGGGTATGGACTTTTACCTGACCTGATATAATGCTTAGAATAAAAGTTCTTAACTCAGTAGTTAGTACCTTACACAATTCACACTCGAATATTCTCGGTATTCCTCTTGGGAGTTTCCTGAAAATTCTTACTATACTACCCACTATATCTAATGGTAATTTAGTATTAGTAGTGGGTACGTACAATATAATATTGCAGTATACCCGTTAAGAATAAATAGCATTTTATACTATGGTATTTTAATTTTTAACAAAGTCGTTGTTCACGAGTTTCAGTAGATAAGTTATACCTACTCCCAAAAAAAAAATTTAAGCTTTAAAATAAATATTGATTAGAACAACAGTTATTTCATTTATCTGGTCATTCTGTTACACACGCACACACAATGTATACATATTATTCTACTAGGTATTTAACTATTATTCTTAATGCACATAATAATATGTATGGGAATTTAGATATGAGGTATAGATAATGGCTAAGATATCAAACTATAGAGTGTAGGGTCATAGGGAGTAAAATAGCAGAAAGTTGTAATTGCAGTGGCGGCTCGCAAGTAAATTCATCGGGGAGACTGAAAATTTAATAAAAAAAAAAAAAATGAATACAAATAATATAAAAAAAACTTAATTTAATTACTACACGCTGCTATACAATGTCAAATAGCTAAATTTAATAGTCTAATACGGACACACGACACGCTGCAGTTTTCGTGTTTACAGAAAAATATACGTGACGACCGCAATGCGAACGGCAAAAACTCTGAATGAGTCTAGTCTCAGTGTACTGAATAACATCTATACAATCTATCCCCGTCCTCCGCCTAGTCATGCATATGAAATTTGTATACATAATTGAGTCTTTCGGACGGCAGACTCTGGAACTATAGCGACCGTCGTCGTTATCGATATATTTAGCCCGTATTGTTATCGTCGTTATCGATATATTTTATGTATTGCATTGTTATTGAATGACACTCATTATTAATGTAAAAATAGAATACAAAATATTATCAATATTAATATCGAAAATCATAATAATTATTTTCAGAATGGATATAACACAAAAATATTAAATTATAATACAATGTTTTTCAAACTTTTATATAGCGTTCCTACTTTTTATTTTTGCGGGGAGTCGCCGTCTCAAAGACTCCCCTAACGAGCCGCCACTGTGTAATTGTTGCCCCGTGGCGCAAAATGTCTTAATCCGACCCTGCTGCAGTGCTGCATTGTTACCTATTAATCTTTATTCGAATTCACTAACAATTAGAAATAATTAATTATTTATTATAATATTACCATTGTGTATGATTAATATTGGTATTCAATTCTATATGTTAAAGGATTTTATCACCTATAGTACTTAATGATCTAGTCTTTACTTCTCTAGTGATTTTAACACATATCTACAGCAGTATTTTAGTACCTAGGCTAATAGGTACATCAGCTGGTATAGCTCAGCATGGACAGTATAATTAATAATTATAGGCCAGTAGAGGTACGTACCTTCTAATGTTCTTTCAAATAACCAGATTGCAAAACAATTGGTCTTTTCTTAAAGAAGGTAGGTCTCTTTTATTTGAGTTGTCTTATGTACATCCGCAATGTGCATTACTGTTTATAGTGTGGTACACGGTAGTATTACCCAAATATTGGGTGAACCTTATGGAGATATGTTAGACGTGGGAATCGGCATTATATAATGTAAATTAGGTATATTGTTGAATTATTGTTCTCGTTTAACCTACATTGATCTAATGTGTGTGAAATAAAATTATCATAATACAATTTTTAACATTTTGTGGAAAGTTTATTTCAATTAATCAGTCGCTAATAAATAAATAATGTACACGGAGATAATCAGATACACAAGAAGTTCTTATCAATATTTTTTTTTTTTGCTAAATAACAGATTAGGTGATATTTTCAAATTAACACGTATAATTTTTCCCTACACAGTTCTAATTCACAAATTATTTAATATTTTTTGGACATTTTAATTGACAAGTACGGTTGTGTTCATATATTGTACGAGTTACTTGTTTTTTAACACATGACATGTTGATTTTTTTTTAGTTTTGTACATAGTATAGTAGTATATATTTATATAAATATTGTTAACAAGTGCCAATTTTATTTAATACACAGTTGAAAATTAAAACAGTGTTTTTTATTTTAAAAATGTTTTTGTTTGATGTCTTAGCAAATTGAATACAATATTTTACTAATAATCATAAATATTTTAAAATTATAATTGCACGATTCTATAAAAAAAAAAACACCAATATGATTTTATAAGGGTTATTGTCTACAATTTTTAATTTCTAACTTTAAGATATGTACGTAAAAACCTTGTAATTTATATTTTATTGAAATATCTAAAATATAATAATATGCAACGCACTCAACAGTGATGTTGTGTATGATGTATGAAGATAGGAAATGGGTACTAAAAAGTCGTCGATAGGTATATTAGTGACGTTTCACCGGTGTAGAAAAATATTTTAAAAATTTCATCGTCCAAAATTGTTAAAAAAAAACAATAATAATATTAATTTTTAAATAATAAATATTACCACTAGCTGTACGATTTTAAAAACATATTAAACATCGTTTGAATACATTTCCGTATAGACAAAATTCTTTTACCAGTAATGTTCTACGGCATTTTGTTCTTTTTGTCCAGAAATTCTATGTTGGCTGATATTGTACTCGATATGGGTACAGTATTTACAATAGTAAGCTTTAAAGTGTAGGTATCAGTGTATAGAAAATGCGAAGGAGCGTTCGAATGATGATACAAACAGTATTGTTCGTTTCAAAACATAATAATAATGATAATGATAATATTATTACGCAGATTGCAGTTAATTATTCGACTCAAACGGTTTGAAACGATTCGCGTGCGGGTGGTAAGTAAGTTTAGCCTTCACAGAAGTAAAATATATAGCGGTCTTTTCTTCGAAAAACGTCGATATACCTACATAATGCATATTATATTATACATAATAATAGTAATAATTATACGTTACTAAGATTATTATAGTAGTGTTATTGTATATGTTTCAAAACCGAACTTTCGAACTTTTGAAGCTAGTCCAATTACAGCCGTTCCTCGATTTAACTCTTATTACAACAACAATAATAATAATAATAATAGTAATAATAATAATAATAATAATAATAATAATGATGATAATCTAAAACAGAATTTCCTTTAACTACAATACAAGACTAGATATCAAACGTTAGGAAAACACATTACATAGTTAATATTTTTACTCCTGTGCAGTCAAAAACCGCAATAGGAGGTAGGTATTAAAGTTTTTTTTTTTTTGTTTATTTATGTTTCGTCGTAATTTTTACACGTTTATGTACGTAAGCTCAGTGGGTACGCGAGCGCACAGGTGCCGGAAGAAGAAAATATAATTGCGTACGACGCTCTATGATATGCAAACACGTTCTGTGCCGGTGGACCAAGACAGTTTCACTTGGTAGTCCGTGTTCAGGATAAAGTCCGAAATGCAACCGACGAATCCTTTTCTATATCTCTTTCCCGTAGACTTCTCCACGTCTTCAGTGCCTCCTATGAATTCCAACAAACAAATCACAAACGTTTCAATGCGTTATTATTACTACAGGTACATGGGAATATTAAAAAATGTGCTGGGACTGAAGGGGGACGCGGGGGGTCCGTGAACAACTTTTTTTAAAAAAAAGAAAAGGTACTCACTCTTCTTTCGAAAAAAAATATTCATGCGTACCCTTCTAGTCATATCCTAATCAATGAGACATTTAAATACTATTCAGGTACTCTCATTTTTTATTTACACTCGTTTTAATTTTTTTCCAATTCAAGCACAGTATATGTACATAATATGTACAACTTAAGTTTTTTATTTTATTTTTTTACAGTTATTTTATTTATCTTTTTTTATATATTATTGAATACTACAAATACTACATCAAGAAAATATGTTAATCATGTTATCTACTACGTGGTGTTACTATATAATATTATATGCCTACTTACACTCATCTGGGCTTAAACCATATAAACATTTTACGTATTTACATATATTTGTTAATTTCATTAAAGACACTGTACGTCTGTACAGTGCACTAGGGAAAATGCTGTTAGTTTTATTTTTTCCAACTAAAAGTTTGTGCATTACGTATATTATATTATACACGTGTATATGCTTATTTTTTGTTTTTGGCACGGAGACGGTCGTCAAGAAATGGGCAATATCATTAAAAACTAGTGAACACACTACCTCCCGAACCAATTCCCCGTTAGAAAAAAAAGAAGTGCTAAAAAGTTATTAGAATTTGAAAAAACTTTAAAAACAAACAATAACTCGAATTGAAATTATGTACCTAATTAATTATTTTTGTAAAACTTCTGATTTGAATATTAAGTTACATCATATTTTTTTAAATATATAACAACAAAGACAAGTATTAAAGTTTGAATAAATACATTTAAATATTAACACTAAATAATAATTATTGTACACAAATAAAAGAGAAAACTTTTGAGTTTTTGACACTAATAAAAATTCAAATTACTTTTTATGCTTCTATAGTTTTAAGTATTTTTTATTATGTGTATTGTACAAAGCGGGAATTTGAGTTATGCATAATGCATTCAGAAGGCAATCTTTTAATGTAAGTAACACATTTTAGGTTGTGAAAAACGAATGAAAATTTAAAAAAAATAATTCTTATTAATTTAGAGAGCTATAAAAAAGAATAATGAAAAATTGTAAATGTGACAAAAAATCATCTGAATTGTAAATAGTAAATAGCATTAATAGTAAATATTATATAATAATTATCTTTTATGCTCCATAAATTCATAACCATCTCATATTATCTTAATTAATTAAATTGATAAGCTATTTGTCTGGTGTTCTAAAAAGGAGATAGTACCTAATTCATTTTGAAAAAATATACTTTCATTTAATACTTTAATCGTGAAAAATGTCGTTGAATTCCAAAACCGCACACTTTAGATAAAATACGGACATAACTGTACACTTTTAATGGGTTGTAAACCGCACATTTTTTTAGGATGTTGTATTCAAAAACCGAAAAATTTTTAATTACATTTTATATTATTTATTATTTATTCAAATTAAAAAATATTAAATAAATCGCACTGTTATTGCTATGAGTTGCTTAGTAGTAGGTACCTACTTACAAATTTCAATAATTACATTGAAATTCTATATTTTTCGTTATAATAATAATTTCATCTTTTTATTATCATGCGTCATTAAACATCTAAAATATCACAATTTTAAACAACATTTTGGGCTTCTACTAAACCTTTAGGGTAAACTTGATAAAAGATTTGACGTTCGGAATCCATCTCTGATCAGTTGATTAAATTTAGTGTGTGGTTTCTGTCTATCGACTTTTTTGGATTCGAAATCATAAGTGTGTGGTTTTTCGATGCAATCTTAAACTACACTATTACTCAATATATTGACAGTGCAACACCATTATGTTATGGCCCAACACTCAAAATATTTTATTGGTAAAGTAAATTTAGATATTTTTTATTTTTCTTGGAAATTTCATGATAAAAATGTTATGCATGCGTTGGAGGTATATGTTATTTTGAATAAGGTTCGAATAATGCCACCAATGAAATTATTGGTACAATTTCGTGTTAATTAAAACCAATTATACAGATTATATTGAAATTATGTACCTAACTAAGTGAGATCTAGAGTAAGCTTAAAAAATTAACATGATTCAGCCTTGTGATAAATTATGATTGAAAACTTAGTTTTAACAGCACAATAGTACCCCCTTGATATATTTGAATATCTAATTAAATAATGTTAGTACCAACCAGGGTGGCAGGGTTTAAAACTCTGGACGACAATAATAATTTATGTAGTACAGAATTTAATTAATTTATTAAACAATTTAATACTATTTTAGGAAATAGTTAATTTTGCCTTATAACTAAAAAATGTATTAAAAACTGTTTTTATTTGTAATACGCCATACTATACCAAAAATGATATAACTTTGAGACTAAACGTTGTCAGAAATTTATTTAGGTTAATTATACTAATTTATTAATGTATTACTCAAGTAATATTTTAGCTTATAGATTTTCAAAATGGTGCCTATTGGATATTGAGTAAAACAAGACTTACCTAAATACAATCCTGTATTCGTGTTGAGTTGTTTTAGTCGCCCTGTGGAAATCGTTATCATTTTCGTACCATTATCTATAGTTAAAGCACTCAATCTCTCATCTCTGAAAAATGAAAAACATTGTATTTTATTACATTGTTTAAGAATTATAATGTTAATTGTTAAATGAGTAAGTTTTTTACTGAAAAATGATATATTTTATATACTTAATTTGCTTTCAGTTGTACATCAATTAATTTAAGAGTTTTAATTTCAAATTAAAAAAAAATTGTTGAAGTTAGTCAATTTCATAATATTTTATGTAATATCGATTCATTTATATAGCTATTGCCATTTATTATAAACTTACAGACTACAATAGAAATTAAATAAATATATAAAATAGTTATTTTATAATTCATGGTGTAAATTTTGTTTAAATACTTATATTTATGGAATTAACTTCAATATTTTGTATATATTATATGTATTAGGTAATATTATGTCGGTGTTTAAAAACATTTCTACAAACCTAGTAAACTTCATTCTGTGCCAGTGTCCATCATTTATAGGTAATCCAGTGGTATTATATCTAAGTACCGTTTCACCACTCCCTAAATCGTAAGTAACTTCAATACGACCGTCTTGTAATCCCAAAGCTAAAAAGTCAGCCGACCTGTCTGACCGCCCGGTCCACAATATGAGTCCGGTAAGTGCAGTGGTCCGGAAGCGCATATTAATATCCAAGTGTCCGTCAGTGATCCTAAAAATAAACCCATGTTTATGTATGATAATAAATGTACCTGTTACAGAGTTCTGTAAAAGGGATAATATTCTCAGATATTCTAAAAACATTTATGAATAATATATTTTACATAGACAATGAATTATTTTTAGTCTTACTAAAAAACTAAAATTTAATAACGATGGTATTACCATTATAATACTAATTTACCACGTTGGTCAGTCATTTTTCAGATTTACATTTTTAAACTTTATAATAATATTATGATCCATCTCATTAAAAAACAGGAAATATTATATTTGTGTACCTACCATAAACTACATTTAATTATTTGTACAAAAAAAAAAAACATGTATAATTATTTGTCAGTATTGTAAAACGCAAGATTAACTGTGAAATATGTTTTTAATTTTAATTTGATTATAATATTTATCATTTAAAGTACCTACCTACAGGGTACCACTTGCGTGATTATCCATTAGGAGGTGTTAGACCATCCATAGAAAATGTGTAGGTGTAATAGTCTTAGAACGAATCAGGTATGAAAAAAAATTGGGTTTGGTGATTGTTGGCATGTTTAAAAATGGATTGTTATATACTAATATGTATTATCATTGAGTATGTAATTACAATTATAAATTATGAAGGTATATAATAAATAACTATTAAGTGATAATACTTTTACTCAATGGTTGTACAGCTCATTATGATTTGGGTGTGTATTATTCATTTTATTTTAAACCTTAAATTGCTTAAATATAGTGTTTAATATATTATGGTCGTTTGGCAAGTGCGCTGCAAATGAAACCCAAATGGTACTACAAGTCTACATAAGTATGGTACGACTATACTGGTACTTTTAGGCAAACATTATTGAGGTAGATTTTTGTTACACAGTGTGTGTGTTATCTATACAACCGTGCAGTGTAAGCAAATTTTCCATCAGAGGGCATACTTTATGATGACGTAATTTATTTCCCCCTTGTCCGCCGTGAAAAATTAAGTACGATAATCACACTGTTACACATTTTATATTGAGTCATTTAAATTAAAAGCTAAAACAGTCAATTCTTATAAAATAGTTTTCCGCTATAGGCATGCTGCCATGTTATTCAAATCAATAAATATTATTTTATGTCCAAACCCTCCCGGCGAGAGAAATGTGATAATAAACTACCGAGAACGATTATTATATTTTATTGTTAGGTACCTATAAATCAAATTATACATTTATTATTTTTATTATTTCAGCACTGAAATTTCAATTCCCTCGATGCTTTTGAAAAAATAGGCTTTTTACAGATTCAAAATATATTGATTCCAAGACTCCAAAGTACGCTGTTACCGTACCTTTACGATTCAAAATAAATAATTACATTTTTTTTACAGATTCATGGTTTTCCGGTTCTAAGGACTTCTAACTAACGTCCGTACCGATTGTTGTCGGCTTTAGTTTTGCCGATTTCAAAAATGTGGTCACAAATTGTCCAAAGAAGTTTTATAAGCACCCCACTTAAATACAAATAATAATATAAGTATACTATTTCGCTATTTAAGGCAAGTGTAAGTCGCCGCAACGTAGTGGTGATTCGATGAAAAACGTTTTTATAATGAAATACCTCTGTTGCACCTCGTGGCCGGTGTAATGAACGAAAGACGTGCCGTCAAAGGACACCTGATCGCCGTCGGATGAGTTGCACCGTCTGTCGCATACGCACTTGTACTTGTCGAATATCGGCACGCACTGCACGTCGTCGCCGCACGGTTTGGCCACGCACGGGTGTGGGCAGTTGGCTACGTTCGCCCCAGACAGGGCCCCGCGGACGATTTGCAACGGTTTTTCGTTGATGGTCACCTGCGCCGATACAAATTTGAAATTATTACAAGCTACCACGACAACGACGATTATATTATCACGATGTGTGCCGAGCGGCTATTATCGTACGCAATATAATTAAAACATTATAGCCTATATAGGTAGGTGTTAGGTTGGTAGGTACAAACCTAACCGATAACCTATAGGTAATTGCCATGTGCTCTTGCTTTATATACGACTGTATTTACCATGATCTAAGCATAGACCTATTATCTTTTGTAAGTATACAAAGTATATAACTCAAAAACTACTCGTTCGAATTTTGATCTAGATAGGTATATCAACAAAATCATCTGCTATCATAATTTACAAAAAAGGGTGATTATCATTTGAAAAAATAAGTTTTATAAAAATGAATTTTTGTAGTTATTATAAGAGGCATCGCTGACTATAGTTAACATATTTTAGAATGGTTTATAGTTTTTATTGTTCTGATAATGTGTTCAAGACCTAGCAGATATTCATGACTATAGTACCTACCTATTATATTATTGAAGCTCATTAAGAATAGTGTTGTAAGAAACATTCATCCATCCGACTCTTGATTCAAAAATGTCCTCACCAACAGAGGAAATGGGCCATTTTGTTAAACAATAGTACCTAATTAATATTATACCTTTATCACCAACACAAAAACCCACCACCACCACTGCCCATTGCTGATTGTTATTGAACCGATGGGAACAATAATGATATTCTCTGTATGAAATCCTTATTTTACACGAAAATCAAAGTCGAAGAACCGCATAAACAACGGAAAATTACTCACAGTACATAAATTGTCAATATTATCGTCACACCAAAAGCTATTGATCATATTATACACCTCACTAAACTCTGTATAAAATGAGGTAAAAGCCATCTCACTACAATATATTATACTATATTATTATACATATACCAAACCACGTGGGTCTCATGCTATTTGCGCACTATGCAACAGTAACTATTCCGCAGAAAATCATAGGGGATGTACCATGTACTACCTATAAATAACTCCAACATCCTACCAGTTCTAAACACACCCACATGTAACATTTACAACAGTTCCAACACCCCTATGCCCAGCCCAACAGTTGTGTTAGTCGCTAATGTGATAGGCAACAATACCACACAAAATAAAACAACTAATGCTTCTTCACGGTTCCAGCCAACAAAGATAATATGTTTTTTAAACTTTTAGATGAATATTCAATTTATACTAATTGATCTCCTATTTACCTTATTCTGGTCACTGTCATTTCTAAACTGATCGAATCCAAAAATAATAAATAATAACTGGTAGGTACACCTAAAACGACCGCTTCGCCTTGAAATATGGGAAGAAATTCTAAAATAGGACCGAAACGACAGTAGTGTCGTGAGTTCGTGACCTGTTTATCCTAAAAGAAAACTGTACAATTGTGACAATAGTATCTAATTAAGATTTTAATCTAGTTATATAGAACTCGACTCTAAATAAAAGTGATACAATTTCCAGAATATAATGGAAGAGTATTTTTTTTTATTGTTTTTATACTCCTGATTTGTAAATTATTGATCGAGAAAGTTAATTAATCTAATTAAAAAGTAGTAGACAATTCAAACTACTAATAGGCGGATGTCCTTTACACTGAAAAACAACACAAAATTAAATGCATAGATCTCGAGACTGTAATACAAAAAAAATCAAATATATAGAAGTAGCAATATAAACTGAAAATAAAATTGTCTTTTAAAACTACCGCTTTTAAAATAGGCAGGTAGGTATAAGAATATCGAATGTGCAAGTTTATCACATAAACAGGATTACAATTTACAGCTTCCTTTAGAATATTCTATATAAATTCAAAATTCTATTGAATACTCAACAATGCTTACGATCATAAAGTCTTGACAAAATAAAATATACTCATATTGATTTTAACATGCTATGAGACACAAGTAACCGTTATCATTTTAAACTTTATACCACTTCTAGAGCATTAAAATAAAAAAAATTATATTTGGTTTTAATTTACAATTGGTAGGTACTTGTTGAAATGTAAATCGATTCAATTCAACATATTGTATTGAACACAGTCTTTCATCTATAAATCGCTTCAAAATTACAAAATGGTCGGTGGTAACATCTGCAGGAATTGCGTACGTTATTTGAAGTATGCCTACTTGAAAATTATACAATTCCCAAAAGCATGTGACCGTCATTTATAATATATTATATACGACCAATACCAGTTTAATTTTAAATTAAGCGTTAACCACTTGGTACAGTAACACAGCGGAATTAATTAACATTAATTATATCTGTAATTTTGTTTAAAATAAAAAATAATAATTAACGATGTAAATGCTTAAAAAATAATGTTTAAATAGAGACATTTAATCAATATTTCAATATAGTTTATATTTTACACGTACTATGAGTTGTTTAATCAATTAAACCTATAGTATGTTATGCATTTCATGTCTATTATCTAAAGACGTTTTATACTAGCTTAAATTACTAAACCTTTTAAAATTTTTAATCCAATTGTTAATTGGTTATTTGCATAATAAAAGCTGTCTAGGTTTTCATGCTCATCGCAATTTACTTACATACTTTTCAATGTTTTTTAATCTAAATGACTATGCCAGTTAAATATTATATTATGATTTCAATTTACTTAAAAATAGTGAGTGGAGTAGGGACAATAATTATAAATTTAGAATATGTATAATCAATATTCTGTGAAAAATAATTCATAATAAAAAAAATTGTAGGTGAGTTACAATAGAAAATGTATGCAACTGCGGGTTCATTTCGACCATTTTTGACCGAGAAGGATATAGTAACAATTGGAAGAGGAACAAAGTTTTAAGTTAATTAGATCAAATGCTTTTGAAGCTTACATTGGTTTTTACAAGTGGTATGATACTTAATATAATTACCTAACTCATATATTTGATATTTAATTAGGTACATGGTATATTGCATGGTTGACGAAGTTGATGTTCTAAAAATATGGGATCGAAGCATCAATTCATTCATCACTGAAGCAGAAAGACCAGAAATAGTACAACATTATAATAAGATAATGGGCGCGGAGTTGATAAACAGCTTGATAGCTTTTATCGATGTTTTGTTGCAAGTAAAAGAAGAATGGGAATTACGCATGGTATGATTTGCGTTTGATATGGATGTATGTAACAGTTGGTTGGAATACATCAAAGATATAAACAAATTGAAAATTCCCACAAAAGAAATACCTAATAAACTTGTTAATTTTTCTCTATGTATTAATAACAGAATTAATTTCTACGGAAAAAGTATTAAAACCTAGCTCCCTCAAATAAAAAAAGGATCATCAAGTTAATCATCGCTAATCTCTCAAACAAATATTTTTCTTAATATTTTTGGACACACGTCTAGAACACATAATACAAGGAAAGAGGCTGCTCGATACAAATACAAAGAATGTGATAGAAGACAAAACAAGAACACACGTGTGCTGCAGAATGTGTAATGTTTCAACTATGTTTTATAACAAAATTAAATCGTTTAAAAAAACGTCATGACTAATTTATAACTTATTATAATTTGTTACCTTTAAACGAATAGTGGTGGTAGTACCAAAGACACAGATAAAGGGATTTATCGGACAAGGGGGGGGGGATATCACCCTTAACTCGCCCTTGGGCACGGCACTAGTAATAGATTTAAAACAAGTAATGAACAAAAACCATAAGTTTAAAGTTTATTTGTTATGTACAATATTATTGCTTTTTTATGTCAGTGAGTCTTAGTGTACAATACAATGTGCGTTGATTACTTTCTGCTTAATAAAATTACGAACATTTTGAAACTTATTTTTTGGTAAAAGAAAGTCTAGCTGAAAGAGGATATTTTATTATATTAAATTGTAAATTATAAATTATATCCGCACTATTGGTGCGTGAAACATTTCATTTTAACTAATGGATGATTTAGTTTCAATTTAAGGGTTGAGTAATGAGTACTTATATAGTTTATAATGTATAAGAAAAAATAATTGACTTTATAAATGTGGTTTTTTAAAGTCAATGACGCACGTTACCTGACGATAAATCTTTTTATAAAACTGAAAATGTAATAACGTTATAATATTGATACTGTTACTAAAATTGTAAGTATTGCATGATACGAGTATGGGTATTTTAATATATTATAAACTGTAAAATTGCTTAGCTATAATAGCGTTATTGGATCTAAAAAAATGTCCCGATATCTTATGATATATTATGTAAGACTTCATTCTACAATCTCTATATTATGTATATATAATATCATATGTAATAAACAAACATATATGATATACATTTATACATTGTCGTGTTCGAAATGCATTTTAACTAAAGAAGGTTACTATAATAGCTATGTGTGAATATGTTGTTGGTAAGACACTAATATAATAATAAACGATAATATAATGTTATTATATTTGCTGAATAGATACGAACTTTTTGTATGCAGCCTTTGAACGACGTCCGAACCTTGATTTGCGCTGGTACTGTGTCGAAGTCGGGTACACCTCCAATATACATACTTAACGGTAATGATAGTTGTGTAAATGCTTCCGGTGACAATACCTGAAAGAAGAAAGCTATGGATTAATAACGGTTTAGAGTTTTAGGTACCTATCTATGGTTTCATAAAAAATATTTCTAGAAAAAATTATAACAATAAGTAATTGTTTTCTTTGTGTTCGAACGATCGACTGTCCATCAATAATAATGGTTACTTATCTATAAATATTCATACAAATATTTCGCTTTATTTGTTGTTTTCTTGTAAATATGTTTTTTTTAATTCATAAAGAATACTCGAAGAATACATACAAAAACACTCTTTTTTTTTTATTAAACTTGAATTTTCAAATAGTTAATAAAAATAAATTACTTCTCGTATATACGAATATCGTGGGCCATTGAATTTGAAAACACCTGCCATTTAGTGTTTAACTTTAATTTAAAGTTTTTCATGCTCGTTATAAATACATCATCCATATAGGTATATTAAAGTTGCCTCATTTATTTTGAATAACCATGCATTTCTAAGTTTATAAATATTCAAGAAGTTCTTACTTGAACTTCTGGTTGATTGTCCACACGCATGACTGCTAATTTTCCTGTTCGTGATATCCATAGTCTATGCCATTCTCCTAAAGAAACTGTCCACGGACTCCTGTCAAAGTATAAAATCAAATATTTAGTTATTTCTGTTATTTCGAAATAGTAAACCATTTAATAACAGTGTTCCTTTTATCTTGTACTTTTGATCAGCCACGTACTGACGTATATATACATTTTGTATGAAGAAGGGGAGGGGGGAGCAATACGAATTCCTAATCTGTTTAAAAAAACCTAACCCTTGTACAAAAATAGGCTTTTTATAGTATTTATGATGTCCTAAAATAAGTCATAAGTGAAAAATGATTGTGAGACTCAAGCTTCTTAAATCCATTATGAAACCTCATGTACGTTTGATAATGTGATAGCTGCGAGATCGACGATTAGATTTATTGTTTATATATTGACATAACGACTATTGCGCATAGAATACTGTACTGTATTAAAACAATTTCGTCATATATTTGAAATATTATCCTTATAAATCAGACGTATTGTTATTACTTATTATAGTATACAAAACGCCAAAGTCTGTTGTAAAATTTACTCAAAATCATGTTTAACGGGTTACAAACTGAAATAATATAGTCTGAATCAATGTAGATCCGGTCCTGTATAAATAATTAAGGTTGTTTGTGTAAAACAATGAGCGTGTAATATAGTTTATGTTATTACGGTTTACGTTTATAATCCGTTCAGTTAGTTAGCCACCCAGATATATGCATGAATAAACATTTCTAAAGATTATACTATAGATAAACATACTTATATACTCATATAAACTCTGAAGGACCAACTATTACGTATACATATAATAATTATATAAGTTTCATAAAAAAAATATTAAATATTAATTCCAAAACATTTGTATACCCGAAATGTATGTACACACATAAGCAATAACTTTTTTTTTTTAGAAAATATGCTTCGTTCGAGCGGTAAAAATATAAAAATAATAAATAAATTAAAGATTAAAATGTAGTTAGAACTGTTTAAAAAGATTTAGAGGTATTAAAATTTAATCATCATATTTTAAAATAATTTTTATATTTCTGTTATTAGAACGGCATTAGCATAATGTATTCAAAATAAAAAATATTGAGCTCAACACAAAGTATCAATCACTAAAGTGATGTTAATAAACTAAAATATGTATTAACTGATAGTTTTTCGTATGATTGACGATTGTTAAGGATAAATTATTTTTATGGAATAATATTTTCTATTCGGGCAAAAAACTATAGCTAGGAATGTATGACTAATAAGTTACGGTTGATAGCCAAAGAGTTAATGATATAATTATATTATCCTTTTCTGTAGCATTGATAATACATTTATATTTTTCTTATAAAATAAAAACAAATATAAAAATGTCTTATAAAGCATAATTAAAAAACTAATTATGTTTTTATTAAATTTACAAATATAAGAAACTATCTAAACTTAATGTTTAAAAAATATTCACTGATTTATATCTCTCTATTATACAAAAAAGTTTTGAAAAATAGTTTCGTCAAATAATTATTACCATGGCAACCAATATAAGAGTTCTCTTGCAAATTTTAAGATGGGTAGAAATATATATTTTATTAGAGTTATAAACTCTCAGTTCGAAAAAAAGATTGAAGTGGGGTTGGCGAGCGAAGAGACCAGAGGCAGAGCCCCTTTGTAAAGTATAAAAAATAATGAATTTATATATTTTATATACTATATAGTATGAGAGTCATGTGTTTCTGTGTAATAATATCATATACATTTATGGGATGTGACTATTATGACTAACGTTTAAATCTATTGAACATCAAAATGCAAATGCAATAATATGTAATTGAAACATAATGTAACATATAAATTATAATACATTTTCCCTTTATGATATTTATACTAATCAAAATGAGGTCAAGTTTGTATACACTAGGTGATATGTCCCATTAAAGTTCCACTCTAAATATTATTATAACACATATTGTGTAAAAGTTATAGTTCCTAATGGTGAACATATATTGTTATTGATATTTTATCAAACATTCCAATTAATGCAGATTTGATTAATGTATGGTCAATTTTATATTAATAGAATACGTGACGAAACGTCGGTATGATAATTATATCATACATTTATTTTTATGTGATTAAGTAAACTATAGTTCATTTTATAATTTATTACCCTTGATTTCTTCTGACACGTTAAAATAATATTTAGGTAAAATTAGATATTTGGAAAATGCTGTTTTTTTTTATTGAATCAAGTTATAAAAATAACTGATTTATGTCCAAGAGTTGGGTTCATTAATAAATAATTTATTGCCTATTACTTTAAATGTGTATAATACTAATATTATCTTATAATAATAATAATATAATGCCATAAAATGTTTTTATGGTCACGCGGCGTAATAGATAGGCTATTTGACTACATCGGTGTCGTGGGTACATTTATGACATTATATATATTTTTTACATTATTTTAACAATAAATTGTATTTTATATTGTGTTTCTTATATAAATTAATAAATATATAAACCCTAATAAATTGTATTTTATATACTATACCTTAATGATGCTGTTCCCGTGCCTAGATCGAATGTAAACTCTACGTGACCATCAATCATATAAACACTTATAAAATCAGCTGAACCATACTTTTGGTACCCTTCATACAGTATCAGTCCGTCAATTGATTGAGTTTTAAAAACAATGTCCAAATCCAACCACGAAAGAGCTGAGTCACCCAAAGCGGGATGTCTCAGGTAACTGGAACCATTAAATGATGGTACCTGAAACATTGACAAAACGAAATATGAATTATAACATTTTTATTGCCATTAGTTAAGTTTTTATTTGTTGTATTTATATTATACCGGCTTAACTAAATAACTGTATATGTGTGATATTCTTAGATAATATCATATCATTTAATAATACAAACACGTTGGAATTTAAATAATTGATTTAACCGAGTATATAAATTACTGATGGATACCACTTATATAATAATTATAAACAATTTACTACACAATCGGTAATCCATAAAAATACAAAAATATTTGAAGAAATATATCCCTAACACACCCTCCCCCCACTACTGAAAAGTTAACATCGCTTGGTTACCATCTATAGGATGAATCGCTAACTATAGCGACTTAACAAATGACATACAATTATCTGTAAGTACTCTCTCTGAAATTATTTGCCTACCATCTACGTCATATATATTGAGTACCTATTCAGTTAAGTTAATTTTATTAATCTATAGAATAATTATGCTGAAATTAATGAGACTACAAAACTGCATATTTAATTGCAGAGACTCCGCAGAGACTGCGTGTTGTGAACCAAAAGTTGGTCATGGAAAGTTTTGAAATATATTTTTTTTTCTCAAGTAAAATATTAAATAATAGATTAGTATAAAACAAATATAATATGTATACCGAAGAAAATATATATTGCATGTACAAATACGAGTATACGAAACAGTTTTTTCGGTGTAACTATATTGTATATGTATTACTTTTGTATTAATGCAGTTTAGTTCCGATGTGATTGTTGAATTGTTTAATTGTTTTATCATTATCCTCAAGGACTACGAGCGTAAGTCTTAATGATGTGTCACCACAACCCTGTCTCATTAAAAGTTATCTCAAAGATAGCGAATGAAGTAACAAAAAAAGGTCTTTAGTTTAGGTCACCAAAGTTTAAAAAATGTCCAAAATGAGTTATACCTTAAAAATTATCGAAACTTCATTTTTATTGTATTCCACAGATGGCTATGCATAATACAGTTGTCATGTGTTATAGACTCAACAGCAGTAAACACTATCATTGATTTAGTTCTATGATATGAATAGTAGATACAAGGTCGTAATATTCAATTTGTCAACTAATAAAATGAAAAAATGCTGAAATCAAATGCATAGGTATTGAGTTGTCGTGTAGTTCGCTAACTCCTCGTCGAGCTTTCGTTTTAGATATACGCGTATAAATGAGCAATATATATTGTTATTTAGACGCCAGTACGTAAATAATAATAAATGTGTAATAAATTCATATTGTACCTATTATATTATGTACCTGTTATATACCAACTAAATTAACCATTAAAGTTTGATTTTTAAAACAAACACCAATGATAAGTTAGAATATGTTTTTTATACCTTTGGTGTGGGATGTATGGAGTATGTATGCATAGTGACAACTGACAACTTGTTACTTTTAGCATCATAATTCATTGTTAATGTACATTTGAAAATAATATTAGAGATTATTTGGTTTTGTGTGGTACTCGTATATTGCATTATATATTTATCTTTTGTGGTTAATGCGTTTGATGTTTGATGTAAAAGTGGTTAGTAAATTTTGATTAGTGAGCATTGATAAAAAAATGTTATTATACCTTGGCTTCCAAATGTTAAATCTTACATATTGGATTTCGATAATAGCAAAGTATAGGTGGCCTACAGTCTTATCGAGCCCTGTGATTATTTTTAGTAGCTTAATAAATCTTTCCAGTGTGCAATAACGGGTGCAATGATATAATACGATATCCCACCAATATAGACATTATATGAGAATGGTTTAAAGGTAAGCATTCTACTCTATATGATGCATTTAAATGTAGATATATTAATTGATTATCATCCATTATAATATAATAATAACACTGATTTCAAACGTTATTGTTTTCCACATGATTCTGAGGTTTATCAAAAGGTTTTTGGTTTAATTATACGTCAAACCTATTCAATTCCGTGTTCTGCAAAATTCTATAAAGTATAAATTATATGTGCATTACCACGAGGATTCAATTTACTTATGGTGGTCTGTCAGTTTGTCATCATATCTGTTACCGGTTTTGCATAATTTAGTTATACATCGTAACAACAGTATAACTGAACGAATTAAGATGTATCTGAGTTAGGTAGAAACATGAATACATTTCACGTGCTTATTGGGTTTTAAAGTTTTTTCTTTGATATAACAATATAATAAGTCGAAAGAATAATGACTATTTCCTTTATTATTGTTTGTTTAAGTTACCCAATAATTTTATGTAAGGACGGATTCCCTGCAACGTAAACAGTGGAACAGTACGGCGTCGTGACGTTTAGACGCCGACCTATGTTCGGACCGGTAGTTGAGGCTAGACGTCCAGAAGCTGCAGGGAAAACGAACTTTTATACAGTGTTTAAACTAGGAAAATTCATAAAAACACATAAAATAATTAACCAAGACAGACAGGTTTTTCATAAAACCACCTACGTTACGTAGGTAATCAATAATCATGCAATGTTAACTTTAATGTGATCACTGCAATAGTCATCTTATTTAAGTGTTTCCTATAACAAACTCCTTAAAATCAATATTTGTTATTTTGACAAAAAGACCAACAATGTTGGATGTGGTAACATTAAATATAAATTAAATGTATGAATCATGAATACTTACAAAATATTCCAAATAAATATTATGTATACGCAAAAAACTATTATAAATTAATAAATTAAAACTTTAAATCGAAAAAGTAATTTTCAAGAGTACTAGGACACCCCGTAATGGTGTTGACGGCACTTAAAATGGTTTTTTGAGATTTGGGTTATGCAATGTATCTTGAAATTTGAAGTACATTATGTTAGAAAATGGTTACAATGTTTTGTGAATATTTCAAGTAAAAAAAATCTTTATGAAGTACACCATTATGCTTGGCGTGACGTCAAGCTTTCACTCGGTATTAAAATTGGAATTCTGAACTTCTTTGTAATTTACAAAACAATTTATCATGGTTACATTTCGTTACGAAATCTTGTGAAAGCACAAAAATTCCGAACTTGGAGTTCTGACGTGACGTACCTTTAAAATACCACTAAATTCTTTTGCTAATTAAAATGGAAACTGTTCAAAGTTTACTAACCATGCAAGATTATATTCATTTTAGGTATCTCCTGAGATATATTAATATATTCATACCTGGCGGCGTTTTAATCAAACCAGCAGCCGATATACGTTTCAAAGTAAATATAATAAAAAAATAAAAAAGTTGGATACAAAATTGTGTCTACATCTATTTGGTTATAACACGAATTTGGCTTGAATGAGGTGCAATATATATATTAATTATATATGAGATGAATATTTAAGTATTAACTGCCGACAACATACCTAAAATATTTTATTAACTATTTGCTTTTCAGACCTTATGTATTCTGCTTTTCTGGTTCAAAGGGGGCAGTGTATTGACGTACAGTAAATACTAAGAATATAATTATTGCAGTTAATTAAAATTTACTCGGTAGGGTATAAAACCTATAGTTACTCCCGAAGAAATGCATAAAGTGTAGTTATTATAACTATGCCACGTATTTAAATCACTACCAACTACCGAGTACAGAGTAAATATGGTTTGGTTTATACAGTCGGTATTATCCAATACTGAGGCCAGTCTTTTAACCGGAATGTGACAATATTAATAATTGTCACAGACATCGGGCTCGTTAATTAGCGTATATTGTACATTGAATATATTATTATACTTGTACACGTCTAAATGCCAATTCAAATGTTTTTTATTTTATGGAATCGTGGTTTTTGTCTTAACATTTTTATTTGGTATTTTTTTGGTCTCGGTGTTTTCATTGTGACACACACACGCACATCCTTGTTCTATAAATCGTCCTTACTTATTTGCGCACGTGTTTGCAGTGAAACGCATTATCGAGTTGTATGGTTGGAAAAAACAAGTAATTATGATAAAACAACAGTAGTAAAACGGAATTGCAATGTATCATGATATATAAATTCTGTACTTATAGCCGGCCACTTGCCTCGGGCCACGGTGATAAAACATTATTTTATTTTTGTACTCTGGGAAATATGCATAAGTCGCGGTCGTAGAAGGAGCGAGCGTATACAATTATTTCGAATCGTCTAGTGGCCGCGTGCAGCCGATCTAGTGGGCGGGAAGGAGCGATTTAAAACGAAAACAGCTGTGTCGGTGTACTTCGCGAATTTACGCCCGGAGACCAATAAAGTTTCGAGGCGCAAACCCGTGTAGCGCAAACACGAATAATAATATCTAGGTTGATTTTTTTTCACAGCGTAACCATCTTTCGAATGGTTTTAGCGATTTCGAAAAATAAAAATCCATCCAACACAAAAACAAGTTCTTTTTATTATTTTTTTAAGTCTGCATAATACATTTTTTTCATACACACACACGTTGTGTATTTTATAATTTTATCATTATTTGTTTTTATAACTGTTTAGTGTTTATACATATAATATATATTTCAGAGGTTCTGAATCCACTTCATATATTATGATAATATTATGGTTTAAATTTACGTAAATTAGATATGCACAATTTTTTTGTGTATAATAATCGAAGATGGTTAAATTTATATTATTATGGATTGTATTTTAAACATATTAATTTTTTTTTAAAACACAAGTTTTGTCCAGTGTATAATAATGTGTTATTTTAACCAATAAACAATATTGATTTGTTTTCAAAGATGTCAGAATAATAACTGTCAAAATTTAATTATCTCTTAAAAAAATTCACTACAATATAAAAAATGATATCTCGGAACGGCGTTTTATAAAATTACGTCTTTCGTTGCACAATTATTCACTGTGTATAATTGCGTAAAATATTATGAATCGGTGTTAAACCTATTATAATCATATCACGAAATAGCGGGCGTGCTGGCGGAGAGGCTTTTTGCGCTCTAGATTCGAACGGACCCACTATTATACCTACTCCCCCAGTCGGCCGACTTGGGGTGAAAAGTCAGGAAAACACACACCAGACCGCAGCCACCCCCGACCGCCAAACGCCCACTGACCTCTGCCGCGTATAACCACGATGCCACCACCGCCACCGATGTTATTTATTATTGTCATATATTATAATAAAATACAAACGCTCAGGTATTATGAGCGCGTATAGCGGCGCGGCGACATTTCCGTCCTTGCGCGCGAATAACGACGACACAGTGGGTACCAATAATGTTGGTTGAAAAATATGATTTACCTGTGTATATAACATTGAGACTAAAAAACAGAATTATTTTGAATGTAATAATTATCGACTATAATATGGATGACAGGGTGATTCACCGAGCATATTCTCACTCCAAATTTTTCTTATAGTAGAGAATTTATTCAAATCATGATTTTTGTAATTTTTAAGTATACTTAAAAATCCTTTAAAATACTTGAGAGTTATTGTACTACTTAAGGAGTTGTTCTGTAGACTGTAGGGTTACAAACTTCAAAAAAGAAAAAAAAGAATAAACATATTTTTTTTTAAAGAGTCCCCTCTCTCCTTGTACTGCGTAAATAATTGTATTTTTTTTTTTTAAATATTGATGTATATGGTCCGAAATTCTCAGTTATTAAAATGTTTATACTAAAGATAATATTCACTAAAAAATAAAAATAGATTTAAAATAATATATACTAGGTATATGTAATATTGAATCTAGTATTTATTAAACCAACTCAGACCATTAAAAAAAAATTATGAATGTTGAAAAATTTATATTAATTACTATACTTTTAAAATTACTATATCCCCTTTATTTTTTAAACCTATAATCATAATTTATGTCCTTACCTAATACTCAAGGTTAAATAACTCAAAAACTACTCATTTTAATTGTAATTTTGATATAGCAAAAAAGAGGTCAGAAAATAGAAGTTTCCAAAGAACACTCCTACAGTATCTAGGTAGCTCAAAAAATCTTGAGAATTTAAAAAAGGATATTATTTTTATACTTCATACGATATATTTAATAATTAAAAAAAATAAGATATTGAATAATTACATTATTTGAGAAAAAAGGGATGAGCATGCTTGGATTCTGCACATAGGTACCTACAATTTATAGACATTTTTATCGTTTTTAAATTTTGTCACGAAAAACTGGAATTTATACCGACTAAAGAAAAAGTTTCTGTGACCTATATCCAAGAGTCGAACTCATGTTATTTTACTGAAGTGACGAGTTTGCGTGTCTGGCCATGAACTCAAACAGAGTTTATTTTATATACTTTGGAAACAGATATTTCGGAAATGTAACATGAAATCCTGTAATAACAAATAAATTAGTGAGTTAGGAATTGTCTTGTTAGCAGTTGGTATTGGTATATGTTTTACGCTTTGTGTTTGGTTGCCTGTGGGACAGACCTATTTCTATTATATCTCCTAATTTCAAAATTATTGTAAAAT